CCCCCCATCCGCATTGGGAGCATCCTGTTACTGTTAGGCACCTAGTGCAGTCATTCACACAATATTATCATATTTCATTATTTCATCTCTACCGATGGGCAAGAAACCTAAAGATACGCCTACCTTTGTTGCTGCGGCAAGAACCAATCATGATGTACAGTTGAAATTGACCTAGACACCCACCCAGTGTCGAGGAAAAAAGTGGTTATCTTAAACAACTGGGCGTTTTGGACAGTGTCAATAGAAAGTTTTTAAAGAAGCAAAGGAAAAAGTAGGCCACGGTTGTTTGTACAAGTGATTGTCTAGACAGGTGGCCGTTAGAGCAAGTTCAACTCTACTATTCCTATTCAGGGGATCTGTGAATCGAACCTGTGTTTTTATCCTTTTTTTTTTTCTTTCTTGTCAAAAGCCCAATTTCTTTTTTTTTTTGTATGTTGGTGTTTTTATACCATCATTGACACAGTTTAAGAAAGAGATGGGCTTATGACTCTGCTTGTCAGGACAAACCCGGGATGAGAGGGGCACAATATCCCAGCAGACAGACCAAATACTTGGTAAAAATTTTCTCCCTCTCAAGAATCGAACTTAGATAGTCTCCTGCGTGCGACAGCGAAAGTGCTTGACCGCTGCACCACAGACGCCAGTATTACCAGCCCGACCCCCGGCCGCAAGCCAAGGAAGCTTTTAGTGAAGTATGATACTTTTCTCCACGCGTCCGCCTTTGATATTTTTAGAGAAGTGCGACACTTTTCTCCACACTCCCATCTTTATCACTTTGTATTGTCTCAGTTTTTGCTGTTCATTTCCTCAGAGGATGAGATAGCCAGGCCAGACGCAAATACCGCAGACACAAGTAAACGGGAACAAGCGGCTGTTAGCTGGCGACAAAAGGACAAGTGTTTTGACATTTTCAATACAAGTCCAACTACAGGACAAACAGGAATTGTGAGAGAAGCTGGCATATCGACCACCCAGAAGTGATATTGTTTTCGATTACAAACACGCACAAACAGGGAAACCAGCTGAGAGCAGGACACTGGCGGTTGACTTTCGACCTATTCAAGTGACAGGATCAAACGTATTCACAGGGAACAATACTGCCTAGACGAGAACAATACAACAAAACGGCAGAGCCAATAACAATACTGCATAGCCAATAACAGATATTATCAAAACTGTTGCAGTTGCATCTGCGAGCTCGTACCTGAGCTGAGATTCTGTTTGGTCAAGTCACAAAGTGTAAAGACACAATCTACCCCGGAAAAGAGAAAGGGGTGAAGAGGTGGGGCGGAAGAGTCATTAGGGACTTCAGTTATGTGAGACAGAAGGAGTTAAAGAAACAAAAGATTCTCAAATTTCCTACACAAGGAAGTTAGCTCCAAATCAACCGAACATTTCCTTATAATTGGAACCTGTCTCCCCTAAATTATATTTTCTCAAGACGCCCACTGGAGAGGCCGGCTAATGGCTACTAGATGACATTTTGTTCCCCAATGGCTTACGGAAATCTTTTCTGTTGTTGTTGTTGTTGTTGCTGTTGTTGTTGCTGCTGCTGTTGTTGTTGTTGTTGTTGTTGTTGTTGTTGTTGTTGTTG